GTCTCGTTATTATATTATTAATTTAGTGTTTTATTATTTTGATCTGATACGTTAGATATATAGTTTTGAAAAAAAAATTGTTCCTTTTAAAAAGTAAAATCCCGTTAGTTCTTCCTTACCAAATAAAACAGTAATCATGGCTACGTATAATTTCCTTCACTAATAATTCTCAAAAGACAGTTTTATGATAGTCTCCCAGTAGCAAATAACAAAAGCACACGTTAATTTAGGCACTATATATACAGGTTGTGCATCTTTAGAGTGATTAACAATGTTTCCGTAATGCATCGTTACCCTTGACTGATCCACTGAGTGCTTCATTTTTTTTTATTTCAAACCATTGTTCACATATGAATGATGAACGTAGGTATATAAAGAAAACCGAACGTATTATGCTGCTCATAACCTTGAAATATGTGAAGACTATCACTGTAACATTATTACCAATACAACTGCAACAGTTTCTCAATAGAAATGATTGGAACTTTGAATATGTTCAAAATATTTAAAAAAAAATCAAATATTTATCCAATTTTTTTTAGCAGACACAAGTTATTACACAGTTATGTAAATTACCTCAAAGAAAAGATAACTTTGCTGAAAAATATCATCCGTGACAATTTGGTTTTACGTTTTAGAATTGTGTATTTATTCATTAAGTTTGTGTATTCATTTTTAAAGAAAAGTAATGTTGAAGTGCGAAAATGTAAAGCAAATACAAGTTGATCAAGAAAATGTAGAAGTAATGACAAAACTCAACTTGCAGGAGTGAAAATAATTAAAAATCAGAGAAAACTAAACCAAGAACACAACTAGCAAGTTTTCGGCAAGGTAAAACCAGTAAAAGACAAATAGGAAAATTTATACTCGGAATAGGAAGAGGAAAATTTGGTTTTGCAATATGACAAGTGTTTAATATATTGGAAATCACATGGTTGTTTTAAAATGAAAATGGACAAGGAGACTTTATTAGAATAGAACCCCAAATGACTTCGTAAAGAGCAACAATATTGCTTACTAAAGCAGGCAAAAAGAGGAAGGCAAAAAAGCAAGATGAAGAAACAACATAACCACCACTAGCGGAATACATTAAATGAGGGAAACGTGCGGGAGCGACAGAAGGAAAAATCTGAGGCAGCATAAATATAGAAATGAAAAACTTAAGATGTTGGAAATGATAATGTTGAATAGGGTAGGAGATTAAGCTGGTACAAAGGTTTTTCCTTTTCTTCGTAACATTTGTCAGTTTTTATTCAAGAATTCATTATATTCTTTTTGATTACGTTTCTCCAAAAAAAAAAAAAAAATTAGATTCCATTCTGTGTAGATGTTCAACATCTCTATACAAACAGAAAAGTTTTCTAGTTGAGGGAACATTAAAATTATTTAAATCATCTAAAATATATCTTTATCTTTAATCTAGTAAACATCTTATAAAATATTTCAATACCAAACTCTCTCTAATATCCCAGCTGCCATTTATTAAATATTCATCCCACCACCCATGAAAAATCCTCGCAGATAAAAAAAGTCCGTAAATCAACACCAATTAAAGACGCACTCTTGCATTTTCCATCCCCGTTAGGCTGTAAATCAATTTTTAAATTTTTATTTTCATTACGATTCTATAATGCATGATTAGAAATGACAAAGCTATGGGGTGCCATCAAATAAAACTGGGGGCAACACTGGGAACAACATGGATATAATAATTAAAAAAGAACGATGGAGACTCTGATAAGGTTTTATGATATTTTTAAATAGTCCTTTGTTGGATAGGGGTGGAATTCGACTGGATAGGGAATTAAGTAGATCTAAATATGTTTTAGACAATTGGAAAGAATGGAAAAATATCAAACTATTGCATGTAAATTAGAATGAAGAATGAAAAAATATTTAACTTGTTATTTTTTTATTAAAGGATATAAGAATGTTTGTTACTAAGGATTTCAACTATTTTCAGTATATTTATTTTATCAAATGTTCTCTCCAGTTCTATATATATTATATATATATATATATATATATATATATATATATATATATATATATATATATATAGCATTCTGAGCACATTCTTCTAATACGTCATTTCCAGACAAGATTTTTTTCCTCTAAGTGCATTTCCATAAGCGAAACTTAATATTTTTTAGTGTTCATATTTTCATAGTTTCTGATGATATGAAGCATTTGCACAACAAAAAGAATGAAGTAGGAGCCAATTTGTAAGAGTTACCTTTGTACTCTGCAGGAACCTGGCCAGACATAACAAATTCTAATTCGAACTTGAATTTTAGACTGGATCCAACCCAATTCCAATTCAGAAATTCAGATGAAATTAAAAATCAAATAAATACAGAAGCATGTACTACAAAATGTAGTATCTTAAGACTGGTGTAGGTTAAACATATTGCATTTTTGTAAAGCCTAAATTACAAAAGAGAGGTAATAAACAAAAAGATAGGAGAGAAAGCGAAAGAAATGTCACGACAGGCCTTGTAGGCTCCTGGCTTCCATTTTTTTTGGTCCCTTGGTTTTTCTCTCCATTCTCTCATGCTTATTTCTGACTAGCCTTGCTTTACTGCTTCCAGCAATTTCTTCTTTGGACGTCCCCTTCTTTTTTCCCTACTTCTCCCTCCTTCAGTATTGTTTTAACATTTCGCTTCTCAGGCTTTCGTATAATATGGTCAAGTCATCTAGCTATTTGGGCAAGTATTTTGCCGTAATTATTGGTTTTCCATACATCTTCATTACTTTTTTTTTTGTCGTCTTCTCCAAATATTCTTTACCGTTTATATTCCTCTAAAGATTTTTTCTGAGCGCCTTTTTTTTTTAAGATCTCTACTTTCTTTTCTTTCTGCTGGTTCTTGATCCACGCTTAGCAGGCATACATCACCGTGGATCTGATTATTGTCTCGTAAACACGCAGTTTAGCTGTTACATTGGCACATTTCTTGCTTTCAGTATTGAAATCATCTACGTAAGCTATGCATTGTTCCTTGCTATTGAAAATGATCTTATTGGTGCTCATATTTGATTTTCTTATGATTTGTTTTAATACTAGGTTGAATAAATACGTTGATAGTGTTCACTGTGAACCTTGAAAAGCTGTCTTCCGTTGATACCATATTTCTCGTATTCCGAAGCCTCATTTTCACTAGCCTTTTCTGGTATGGCAGTATTTTATATGAAGCAATGGTTTCATTGCTTCATATAAAATACTTGGGTTTATGGAGTGGTATGCCTGTTTAAAATCGATAAATATCATAATATGTACTAAGTTTCATTCGTAGCTATTATTTTGAATTAATTTCAACCTACTTATTTGATCAGTAGTTTTTCTTCCTGGTCTAAACCTTCCCTGGTATTCTTCGACAACATTGTTTTTATATTTTATTATTCTTTTCCTAATAATTTTTGCAAGTGTTTTATAGACTACTTTTAATAGTTGCTATATCTATATTTTTTGCAGTTCGTTTTGTCGCCTTTTTGTAGAGAGGACAAAGAGTGCTGTTTCATTGTTTCTCTTTTCCAAACTGCTAATGTCAAGCAAAAAAGATATACAACGAAAGATATATAAAGAAACATATATGTAATTAAAAAAATGAAAATCTGGAAAAAAAATTAAGCCAACTAAGAAAATGGCATCTGATTCCATATGGTTGAGTGATATGGATTCAATGTTAAATTGTATAAAATTGATTAACAAATGTTGATCTAAATAAATTGTTTTCTTACTAAAGTTTTGCTGAGCGAAAGATGAGTTTCCTAAAGCTTTTAGTTAAATTTCATTCTAGGATTATGTCGAATGTTAGTACACTCGTAACAGCCAGAACACGATATGAATATTCAACAAATTTTCCAGTTTGACTTTTTGTGAGCAATGGTATCAATCCATTTGAGACTAAAGCTCCCGATGTAAATGAGATATACGTCTGAATCTATAGAATATTTCGATTTTCCTTCTCAATATTCCGAAGCCCCCTCTCCTTATCCCCTCGTCCCTCATCTGACAATTAGTGTGATACCAACTAAGTCTGAAGCAAATATCGATTGATTATTCCCTTTCTCTTTCTCGTCCAATAATTGACATTTGTTCATCTTTCTCGTACGTTCAGATTATTCATTTCTACCTATTCTAAATATCTCCCTTCAAGATAATGTGTATCTCTCGGCCGACGGCGTCACCCGCTATGCAACGCTTTTTCATCGCCCTCTCTCCAGAACCGTACTGCTTCAATTTTTAAGCTTTAACAGCCAATCAGTAACGCTAAATACAACAAAAGATGCCACTTGATCTTAAAAAAATATCTGTTTTGTTCTTTAAGTCTTCATAAGTTTGGTTATGACACGTAAATATCCAAGAGTCAGCTCTATATTGGCATTAACATTACATTTGAGTAAAAATATTTATATCTTCAATAAAACAACAATATTAAAGTGAAAAAATCGGTTCTTTCTCCTTATTCTTCCTCTTAATAAGCAATTCTGCTTGTACATTGGCGGAAAAACACCTCTATGGAAAGTTGTCACTCCATCTTTTGCGCTGTCGTCCGATATTTCTTCTGCCGATTGGTGACTTATCTGTTACTATTTTGATGATACGGGATTCAGATCATTCTTTACCACACAGAAGTGAGATGGCTGAGTAAGGGTAAAGTTTTGGAACGTTTCTTCAGCATTCCATATGAGATTACTCTGTTTTTGGCTACAATGAATAAGGAGTTTCCTGATATTCATAATTTTAGCTGGTGGCTTAAAGTAGCGTTTCTCACTGATACAATGAGTATTATGAACGAAACATTATCCAAATTGCAAGGAGACTATAATAATATTGTAACAAAAATGATAAGTATTTTGTTTTCACTGTAGCAGAAGCTGAATATGTATATTGAAGATATTCCAGCTTTCCTTCCGTTAAACCACTGTTTGATAAAAATCCAGATGATAGTCAAGAGATTTCTAACCTACTGAAGCTGTTAGCAGACCTAAAGGATGAAATGTCTGTGAGGTTTAGTGACTTCAGGAAGTTCCAAGAACCACTTCGCTTGTTGGAAAATCCATGGACAATAATAACAGCAAATGTAGCTTATCTTTCTAGTTTTAGATACGAAGCTAGGGATTTGAAAAAAGAGTTAATTGATCTTCAGCATGATACAGAGCTCAAAAGTATTTTTGAAGAAAAAAAGGAGGAAAAAACTCACTATAAGTTTTGGGAAGCAGTTGAAAATGGCAAATTTCCTAACTTAATTGACGGTGCTCAGAAGATTTTGTGTATTTTTGCATCTACATATGTCTGTGCATCTACATTCAGTAAGCTGAACTTCATAAAAAATAAGTACAGATCTAGGCTAACTAGTGAGAACGTTGAAAACATTTTGAAAATTTCAGTTTCTTAATAAACTTATGTTATAGTCATATAGTTTTAAAGTTATTTCATACCACCACTTGTACTTGCGGCCCTGACGAAAATTTCATTGAACCTATTAGGCTCTCAAAGAAATCCTAGTGAGGATCTGTGCTTTAGTTGGTTTATTTGTTTGCTCAGAGTTTGTTTTGTAGGGTTGTCATTGTAAGAGGATGCTATCGAAACATGGGTGCTGTCTGGAATATGGTTTTGGGCCGTCTTTAGCCTTAATTCGGTCGTGTATACATCACAGAATTAGTAATCTTGTCCAAGTGTGAAAAGACAAGGGTAGAGAGTACTAAGACAAGTTCTCGTGGCTTTTGGAGCGGTTTTCTAAGAGTACTTTCCTTATTAAATTGTTTCTCGCTGTTTATTCCATGTTTTCTTCGTTTTTTTTATGGGCTACTATTGAGTTAACTTATTTAAAAATACTAATTAGAAGGTTGTAACAAATTCTACAATTTGATTGCTTTCTTGTACTTTTAGAAAGTTATTAGATTTTATTTACAATTATCGAATTACAATTTTATAAATAAACATTTCATGTTCGGAGTTCAAGAGTATAAAAAAAAAGGAACAAAATGCATATTTCTGATAAAACTGATACATCTATTCAGTCTGCTTCATTGTTACTTTTTTTAAAGCATTTTCCAAGTCTTTTTTAAAGGCAAAGATAACTAATACAAATTCAGATAAGTATCTTTTAAGAAATTTAATATTTCATGACTACACAATCGAAAAAAAAACTAAAAAAATGTTCTGGTTCCGATACTGTATTTTATACTCTTCCCCACCTTTTCTCTCTCTGAATCTGGCCCTACGAGGTACGGAAGGGAAAAGGGTTTTTAAACGCGGCCACATATCTATAATCAATTATTCAAATGACTCATTCGGTTTGGCATTGATTAAAAAGGTTTAAGATAGGATGTGCCGCACTCCTCTGATATTAGAAATCCCACTTTTGATTTATGGCAATGGCGAATATACAAAAATTGGAATTTTTGTGCGTTCCCCGAATTTGGGTCAGATAAGAAATCGTGTGGAAAATGTTCGATCAATATACGAACTGATATTTAAAAAAAAGCACTTAAAAAATCAATTATTTTAAATAAATATCACAGTTAAAATCCAATAAAAATTACAATATTTTGAGATAAAAATAAATTTGTTGTTTTGTAACAGGTTTGAAGATTTAAGGAAAGGAAAAAACTAGCAGACCAAAACCATCTACGATTTATTAGGGCCATGGTCTGGAATTGTTTCTTTTTGATGTTCCGTGGCACCTGGCAGACATTATTAAAGATAACGTAGCTGGGGACGTAACGTTGCTCAAACAGCAACACGAAAGTTTACATTCTTTGATGATTATTGAAGCGAAGCTTTTATACTGACGTTTTATTACTTTTCTTCTTCTTCTTCCTCTTTTTATATAGACATCATCATTATATAGACTAGTCATACCATCGTTTTCGTGGTCTTCCTACTGATCGTCTTCCTATTGGGGAACCGTCTCTTGCCGTCTTTACTACTTTATTTGTTGTCATTCGGCTTATATGATCGTTCCTTTCTACTCTTCTATTTCTTACCCAGTTTTTGATGTTCTCCACCTTGCATCTACGTCGTATATCTGTACTTCTTTTCTTTTTATATGACTTTTAGTACTTACCTGTTTTTTTTTCTATACAGTAAAATGCTGCGACAAGCGTCACGGCTAAAGCGCTACAAGATGGCGTCGTCACGAGTCGCGTCACGAAATAGTAGTTGACGTCTATTAACTACTCTCGATCATTTCGTTTTTTACCAAAAATTGGATATTGGACTCTGAAAGAAGAAGAAATTTAATTCTAAAAGAAAGAAAATGATTTGAAATTAAATGCAAGAAATATCAAATGAATATACAAAAAAAAATAATGATAATGACAATTAAAAAGAAATAAGAAGTATAATTCTGAACACTAAGTTAATAGAATAGGACTAAGTTTACGAGAGATATCAAATAAAAAAGAGGCAAAATAGAAAGGTATAAAATAATATAATTTACGTGGGAAAACAAATCTAATTTAAATCACGAATATGGAGGACAGATGGGGAAAATTAAAACAAAGAAAACCTGTCACAATCTAAGTGAGGCAACATCAGATTGAAACAAGAAAGAAATTCATAAAAATCCACCAAGAATAAAATTTCCCATTCGTATATACACAGTTATTTTAAATGCCACACACAAAGACAAAAAATATTACAAAAAGTGTAATTTTTAAAATATAGCGTAGAATTTCTTCTTGTCAATTTATGCCATTTTATTGCTTTTTTTTTTCTCCTGTATATTTCAAAGGAGCCGGGACACGCTTTGTCGTCGGGCACTAACGTCAGGTGAATTTTCAATAATATTTTAGCCAAAGTGACACAACAGGCCCGCCTAATTAAATCAGGAGTGGGATGAATAAATCAGCACGGGGATTTTTCCAAATAAAAGAAAAAAATCCATTCGTCATTCTGTTTGACCATACGATACGGCGAATATAAGGGTTAAGGGAAACTAAGGCACTCACACATATACACACAGGGAGAGAAAGAGAAAACAGTATCTAATTTAAATATTAGATCTCGCCCGTATTTTATCCCCAATCAGTCAGACATCCCCGAAGCACCGAAAGGGGTGAGTTTCCATATAGCTTAATCACCTTCCCCCTTTCCCCCTAACGTACATCTAAGCTCGATAATCAATAATTATACTCTCAAATATAAAGAGAAAAGAGCCAAGTGAAATGCCGATTTCAGTGTGGCAAAGAAAAGGACAGACAGGAAAGGATTACACTGTTCGGACGAGGATGGGGCTAACGTTTCGCCTTATACTTCCTCAGTACGAAATTCATGAACGGCCGAAGGGGTAATATGATAAACAATCTAAAAAAAAATACATATTTAAATATGTAAACATTTCTTCTCGTTAATAAGAAACTGGAGTAAAAAATAATTGCATAATCTTGGCATCCTACGATGACCGCGCCAAATAATTCACAACAATTTTTGTCTATTCCCTAAAAAAACTTAAGCTTTTTCTTTTTTAATTTACTTAAATTTAGTGAACTGAAAAAAAAATTCCCATAAAGGCGATTTTTACGACAATTTTAACTATTTGGATGAGCATAAATAACATAGGTACCTAATATAAGCAACAAGCATTATAAATTATAGGCATGAAAAATATAAGAGAATGAACTGATTTGTTCTCACATGAACTGTTTTAAGTTGCTCAATATACAACGTTTTCTAAAATTTAGATATTTTTAAAATTATCACTTTTATTTTTATTTGTTTATTTATTTTAAAATAATTAAGTAATTTTATTATGTATTTATTATTTACATTTTAAACAAATTATATTATATTCAAATAATTCAATAAATTATAATGTTTGCTCCCAACTCCACCTGTTGACGTATTAACAAAGCATACTTTGTTTACTTTTGACAGACCTGTCAAATTCAAACGCAATATTAAATTATAATAAAATATAAATAAAAGTTTTATTTAAAAATCCTGTATAAAAGGTATATAATTAAAAAGAACCTTTCAGGCTAAATCACGGAACGTTTTCGATCTAAAAAGTCCATCATCAGTCTATTATTACCTAAAATAAGTATTAACACTTTAGTTAATGCAAACGTAAAGTTTAAATTTGGACTGATTGAAAAAGCAATGTAGTTAATTACTTACCAGGTATACATGAGACCAGCCACCAAATATCTTGGTAAAAACCCGTCAAAAGTTACAAAATTTATTATATTTTATATTTTTGTTAAACAGTTGTGAAATAAGATTAATAAGTCTTATGAGCCAAGTGCTTAAAATTCTATTAAAAATACTTCACAATATGGTATACAAAAGGTGTGAAAAAGAAGTTGGATACGATCAATTTGGATTCAGAGCCGGAATGGGGACCAGAGAGGCCTTGTTTTCATTACAAGTACTGCTGCAGAAGTGTTACGACCAACAAAAGGATGTCTTTCTATGTTTTGTAGACTTTGAAAAGGCATTTGATCGCGTAAACCATAATAAAATGTTAAATTCCTTGCAGAGCATCAACTTGGATAGTAAAGATCTCCGATTAATTAAGAACTTATATTGGAGGCAGAGTGCCAAGATTAGGATCGACGATCATACATCTAGAAATATTAGTATAAATAAAGGAGTAAGGCAAGGATGCATACTATCCCCTATGCTGTTCAATCTTTACTCGGAACTACTATTCAAGCAAGCCTTGGAAAACCTTTCCACAGGAATAAAAATTAATGGAGAACCAATATCTAGCATAAGATATGCAGATGACACTGTCCTACTGGCTGATACAGACACAAACTTACAGAGGGTTATAGACCACCTTAAGGATGCTTGTCGAGAGTTTGGAATGAAGATCAACGAAAAAAAACAAAAGTAATGGTGATCCAAAGAAAACAGAATATCCCCTTACCTATAAAAATAAATGGGAATATTTTAGAACAGGTAAACCAATACAAATACCTTGGCTGTTGGATTAATTGCAAGCTGGACCCAGAACAAGAAATTAAAGCGAGAATTGCTCAAGCTAGGGATAGTTTCTTTAAGATGCGCGTTCTATTCTGCGATACACATATAAATATTAAATTGAGATTAAAACTTGTAAAATGTTTTATCTGGTCTGTTCTTCTCTACGGAGCCGAAACGTGAACTTTAAAAATAAAGAGCCTGAATAGAATCGAGGCATTTGAAATGTGGGTGTACCGTAGAATTTAAAAAAAAAATTCCTTGGACAGCACGAAAAACAAATGAAGAAGTACTAGCTAGACTCAATTTAGAAAAAGAACTATTGAGAACAGTCAAAAGAAGAAAAACCAGTTATTTAGGGCATTTGTTGCGCAACGAGAAATACTACATCCCTCAGTTGATAATAAAAGGCAAAATAGAAGGAAAGCGAGGAATTGGAAGAAAAAAATTGTCCTGGTTACATAA